CTTCCTTGCTCTCTTGTGCTGTCCCTCCACCCTCCTAGGCATGAGGTCCCAAGGACTGGTCCCACCTTGCAATATGTCCAATATCTGTCAGACAGAGCTTCAGAATCTTCACCTCCAAGGAGCTTGGTTTCACCCTCTCCAAGACGACCCCATTTGTTCTTCTGGTAGTCCATGGTATATTCAACCCTCTTCTAAACCACCACAGCTCAAAGGTATCAATTCTCCCTCTATCATTTCTAGTCATTGTCCAGCTTTGAAGTAATCAAGCTTACTTGATTAGCAAGTGACTACGAAGACAAAATATTATGTAAGGTATTTAGAGCTGAATGGGTGTGTCAGAGGCAGTGCGATTGGCACAGGATAGAGCAGGGTTTAGAGCTGTTGTACATAGGGTCCCTATGAGTCGCAAACGACTCGATGGCACATAACAACAACAACAACAACATTTAGTGCTGGAAGCTGACCACCCAGATAGAAAGGCATGCACAATATGTAGTTTGGACATGCCATCAGGAGGGGCCGATTTGCTTAAAGATGTCTTGTTTGGTAAATAGAGGGTCAGTGAAAGCAAGGGGAACCCTCAGCAAGCCAGCCTGACACAACAGTACACCCAGATATACCAACAGTCAAGCACAAACAATACCAACAGTCATGGCACAGGACCAAACAACATATTGTTCTATTATGCACAAGTGCTTCTAACAATGGGCTTAACACCACCATGGTACAAAGGCCATTCTGAACCTCTAGGAAGAACCTAGTATGTACAGAAAGAAGCAAGCTCATTGCCGCTGAGTTGGAACCAACTCCTAGCTGACCCTCCACTGGGTTTCCAAGTGGCAAGAAGATGTGCTGCAATCCCAAAGGCACAAAGGCATGCGGTTTGAGGTCACCTGCTGCCCCGTGGGAGAAGGATGGCAGTCTCTTCCCATGCAATTAACCACCTCTGAAAACCCGCAGGAGGGTCGGTTCTGACTCAATGATATACAACAACAATATCAACAATTTTCACGGGAGGTGGCTGTCCATCTTTCTCCCATGGCCACTGGTGGATTTGAACCATCGGAGAGATGTAGCCTTTCGCTTAGCAGCACACTTCCTTATGGACGACGCTAAAGACAATGCATGATAATCTTGTGGATTGTGTCCTTCAAACTCCACACTAAATAGTTCCTAAAGTATTCCTGTTATTATAAAATTTGTGATTTTCATCTTACAGATGAGGAAACTGAGGCTCAGAGAGGCTAAGTGACTAGCAAGTAGAGCTGAGTTCCAACTGCAGGTCCCAGGTGCCTAACCCGGACAAGTCTCCTTTAAAAATGAAAGTAATTCCTGCGTGGAGAGAGCTGGTCTGGCGGTGACCGGAGGACCCAGTTGGCCACATCCAAGGCATCAGATGGAGCTCTGTTTGAATTTCCAGAATTTGAGGGAACAAAATAGTTCCTTCCTTCTCCCCTTCCTGAGAGGAGGGAGGAGGAGGGCAAGGGGGAACACCCAGGCAGAGGAGGCTGGTGTTCAACAACAGGAACCAACCAAACAAAAAGGTTTCCTTTGTTGTTAAAAGAGAAGTGGGAGGGGCAGATGCGGGGACAAGAAAAGAGGGGGATGATTAGAGGCACTTCTGGGAATGCATCTGAAGGAAATAATCAGAAAAAAGAAGCAGATGGAAGGCCTGTGGAAAGATATGCATCAGGACATTATTGAGATGCGCACATTACCTCACTGACAACCAACAGTAAAGACCGGATTAAGCCAGCTCTGGAATTCTGACTCAATGGAACACTGAGGGGCTTTAAAAAAAGGATCATTATCATTGTGGAAACAGCAGAGAGAGGAGCATGGGGACAGGGGCTAACAGTATAATGTCCATTGGGAAAACAGGAAACCAAATCCTTGCAATTATGTAAATATCCGCAGAGCGCCCTGAGAGAAAGGGAGGACAGGGAGAGGGGATCAACTGCACTTTATCTCGTCCTCTCCTTTCCATAGTCTAGAACATTCTTTTACAAAGTTTCAACTGGTCCCTGTTAGTCACATGTGAGAGGATCCTAAGCCTTATATGAACATTTAAAATAATTTCACACACTTTTTTTTAAGGGTTTCAAATGTAGTTTATTTCTTCAATAATGTCTTATTTTAATGAGTACATAGTGCTTTTCCTCGACATCAATTATAAGTTGATTTTGAAAACAATTCAATATTATACCACTAGCTGATTTGGTTATTGATCTCTCCATTCCTTTGGGGTGACTCTGCCAACAGGGGACAAGTTCCATACTATCCCAATTTCACACACTTTTAAAGCTTAAAAATCTTACATATATTTTTTTGAAAATTTGCATGTTTAGGTTTGAGCACAGTATCTTGGTTATGTTTTCAAATGAGATCTTTATTATTTCTCTCTTTCTTTTTTTTTTTAAATTTTTAGAGCCACACAATTAAATACCTGTGGTTGAAATGCTGTCTGAGTTTGGCTTCAAACAGTTCTGGGAGGAACAGGGAGATGGGCAAAGGGGAAGATGACACATGATCGGTCCGGAGTTGCTCAATGTCAAAGCTGAACAATGCGAATATGAGGTTCTCATTCTATTTTGTACATTTTTGACCAAATGAAAAAAAAAGTATTGAAATAGTCCTGTATTGTCACGGTGGTTGGTGTTAAGCGTCCTGGAGTTGACTGGGATGCATGGTGACCCTCTGAACAACAGATCCAAGTCTCGTCTGATCCTGCCCCATCTTCTTGATGTCATCCATGGTTAAGCCTGTCCTTGGTTCTTGCTGCCACCACGTCAAGCCGTCTCACTGAGAGACTCCCTTCTCTTTCTCTGACCCTTTGCTTTCCCAAACATCTTATGTTTTTCCAAGGACAGGTCCCTTCTGACAATGTGTCTGAAGTTTCTGAAATGAAGTTTTACTGTCCTGGCTTCAAAGGAGCACTGGCTGCAGCTGCTTCATTGCCCTCTGGAGTCCATGGGATATTCAGCACTCTTCATCAACCTCCTCAACCTCAATGGCGTCGAATCAGAACCAACTCACAGCTGACCCTCCAGGGGGTTTGCAGAACATGTCAATTACGTGGGAAGAGACTGCCCATCTTCCTCCAGAGGGGCAGCTGGTGGATCTGAACAGCTTGTCTTTGGACTCACAGCACAACTCCTTATGCACTGTTCTTGTTGTGTACCATCAAGTTGGAGCCAATGTATAGCTGACTCTCCAGCAGCTTTTCAGAGGCAGGTAATCGCACATCCATCCCCTGTAGAGCAGCTGGTGGACTCAAACTGTGTGCCTTCAGGATTGCAGCACAGCTTCTTGTCACTAGGCCACCAGAGCTCCCTTATCACTAGACCACAACAATTCTTCGATCTTCCCTGTTCATTGTCCAACTTCTATTTATTCAATTTTAATAATTATATTTATATCTATCTTAGACCAAGTGATGATACAAGTGTCCACGTTCATAGGGTCACTATGAGTGGTCTATGACTCGACAGCACTTAACAACAACAACAACAAACAATGAGAGCTCTGTTGGCCTGGTGGATAAAAAGTGATGCTACCAAACCAAAGGTGGGTGATTTTAATCTGTGGCCCTCAGGCTTGGCTTTAATTGTATTTGGTCAAACCTTCTTCTAAGTGGGATAGCACCGGTCTGTCCATTTGCTGTACAGAGGTAACTCGTGGTTGCTGTGATGCTAAACACTGTGACACCGTTGTGTCAAATGCGATAATGGTTACACATGGTGAACAGTGTTTGATGGAACTTGGAAGCTGGAGTAGCATCCACTTCCGAAATAGCTTGCCTTCGGAAACTCTATGAATTTGGAGAAATGATGAAAGTTATATAAGTGTTCAAGTCTTTCATTCATAGGGTCACTATAAGTTGTCTACTACGACTCAATGGCACTTAACAACAACCAACAACATCTTAAATCAGAAAATCAGGATAATCACCTTCATTACATAGGGGTTCTCCCTTTTTTAAGAGAAAGGAACAAAGGGAGGGCAATTGCTTCCACTAAGAAGGAGTACTGATCCCTGTCCGCCAGTTTGCTATTCTGTGGTGACGTTAAACCTGCCGATACTTTACTAACATCTCAAATGATGTTACTAGCATCTCAAATGATGTTACTAGCATCTCAAATCCCAGCCAAGTCACCTGTATTGGACAGGTTTCAACGGAACCTCTACACAAAGGCAGACCAGGTAAAAAGGTCTGATAATCAGTTCCAAAAACTGTGTTGTTGTTATTAGGGTCTACTGAGTTGGTTATAACTCATTGCAACCCTATGAACAGCATGGATCCACTCTCAAGACTTATGGTGGTTACGGTCAAGAAATAAAAAAACAAGGGGCACTGAGCAAATCTGCTGTCAGAGACTTTTACAGAGTGCTAAAGAGTAAGGATGCCAGTCTAAAGACTAAGGTGTGCCCGACCCAAGTCATGGTCTTTCCAAAAATTGTTGTGTACTGTGGAGTTGGAACCGACCTATTGCTGACCCTCTGTTGGGTTTTCAGAGGCAGTCAATCACATGGGAGGAGATTGCCCATCCTTCTCCTGCAGAGCAGCTGGTGGCCCTGAACCATGTGCCTTTGGGATTACAGCACAGCTTCTTGCCACTAGGCCAAGTCAGCCAATGAAAATCTTATGGATGACAAAAGAGTACTATCTTACTGGCTTGCACGAGATATGCCATTTAGGGGGATTAGTCGCTGGTTAGAACAGCATGACTAGGAAAGTAGAGGGTCAGTGAGGGTGAGAGTGACCCTGGATGAAGTGGGCTGGCACATAAACAGCCACGCTGAACATGAACATGACAGTAACTGTGAGGTTGATGCAGGACAGAGGCAGACCTCATTCTGTTCTAAGGTTGTCATGAGTCAGAGCTGACTCTATGGAAAAAGACAACAAAAAGAGAGCAAGACACCTCCCCCTTTTGACCTGGAATCTCTTTCTGATACATGGCCCTCTCTCCGGGTCCCACCCACCTTCCCTGGCTCACCGGCAGCTGTTGTCCCCATCGCTGTGCAAGGACATCTCGGCCCTGCGGAGGCCCAGGCGGGAGAAGGAGTGGTACAAGGTGAGGGCCACATCGCTCAGGCTGTGGACGCCGTCCGGCTCGTCATACACATTCTCCCAGTAGGAGCGGAGGCCGGGGGTGCCCGCGGGGTAGTTCCCATACAGGTAGTAGTCCAGCTGCCCGATGATCTCCTGATTCACCACAGCTTCAAACTTCCGGGCAAAGAAGGTGGGTCTGGCCGTCTGCTGTGCTCGGGAGACAGAAAAAGAGCAGCGTCAGAAAGTGGCAGGGGCTTTGGAGCCAGTCTTGTCTAGTTCGTTCCCCTATAATCAGTTAAAACTACAGGTGTACACGGTAGAACTACTCCATGAAGTTCTCAAGGCTATGACCTCACCTTCCAGAAGCAGATCACTAGGTTTGACTTCTGATTTTGCTCTGTGGGGGTTTGAACCAATAACCTTTCAGTTCAGAGCCAAGCACTCAGCTACCTGCCCCACCCAGAGACTCCTGCCTGGATTCAACCTCCAGCTCTGACACTTCATAACCTCGCTGGTCTCATTTTCCTCATCTGTAAAATGGAGGTAATTAGTTAAAGGTATCTGAAAGCCTGAATGAATGAATAGTTCTAAAACACGGACAGTATTTGTTAGGGAGCTCTGGTGGCAAAGGCTGCGGGGAACTGTGTTGCTAACTCTGGTGGTTCAAATCCACCAGCAGCTCCTTGGGAGAAAGAGGTGCAATCTCCTCTTGTGCGATTTACTGTCTCTGAAAACCCACGGGAGGGTTAGCTATGGGTCTGCTCTCAGCAATGAGAATGCGAGAACAATATTTGTTAATATCTATAAGCATCATTTCAGTGTTTGTTAAATAAATGAAGTCCTAGATGCTGGGCTGCATCTCAGAAATCATTTAGCCAGAGGTCACTGACTAATAATCCAGGGCAAATACAGCCTGCAGATGTACTTCAGTTGGTGAGCAGAGTGTTTTAAAATGGAAAAAGATGGCAACAACATTTTTAAAGTGGAAGCATTCACAGCAAATGTTTCTGGCTTTCCTTTACAAAAGAAACAGATCCGGCAAACCCAGTCCCCTATTTTTACAAGGTAACAACTGATTCAAGCAAAACAGTAGCTGCCCCTTTACACAGGCAAAGGTCCTCTTCAACTCAGCGCAGTCCTTACCACTCCCTAATGCCTCCCTTGCCCTGCACGTGACTTCCAGACTCACAAGACATGCCCTGGCTTTATGAAATCACAATCTCTGGGGATGGGTCCCAGAAGCTAGTATTTTCAAGAGGTCCTGCAGGTGGTTCTTTGGATCGCCTATTTGAGGACAGTGCAAGTAACACCAAAACTGGCTGTAGAGTGGTTAAGTGGGAATTTATTTTTCAATCATGCTTTAAGGGTGTTCCCTCCCCAGAACTACTGATTCAAAATCTCTGGTGGATGAAGTCCAGCAAACTTAAGTCCAGAGAAGGGGCCTGGCCAAGGTCAAGTCAACTCCAACTCATAGCCATCTTTATAGAGTCTCTGAGGCTGCAATTCTTTTACGGGACAAGACAGTCTACCTTTCTTCTGTGGAGACATCTTGTTAGTGGATTTGAACCGTTGACCTTTTGGTTAGCAGCACAACATGTAACACACTATATCAGGAAGGCCAGTTAGTGAATTGTTTCAGCTTTGCAAGGGTCTAACTCTGAGGGGGTAGCATGAAAACAGCCATAGACAAACTAATAAATGGGTGGGAATGGCTTTGTTACAATAAAATTTTATTTAGAAAAAAAAAGAGGCAGCATGCTGGAAGTGGCCCATGAGCTATAGTGACAATGTGTTATCCAGTAGCTGCTCTGTGGGAGAAGGACAGACAATCTCCTGTGTGATTTACTGTCTCTGAAAACCAGCTAGAGGGTCAGCTATGGGTTGATTCCAACTTGACAGTACACAACAACAATCCTTGTAGGCTAAACAAACAAATCAACTGCAGAACCTTCCCCTTTTGAAGCTATAGTCTAACGTCTTGGAGTTAAAGTTCGATCAAGCAGTGTTTTCAGGATGATGGAGCAATTACATCCATAATGAGCACAGTTACTGCTGAGCACATTCTACACATCAGGCACCAGGTTTACATTGTCTCTCCTCCTCTTCCTCCGACTCCTCCTCCTCAGAAAAGGTATTATACTTCTAATTTTACAGATTAAGAAACTGAGGTTCAAAACCCGTAAGTGGTATTTATAGTAAACTCACACAGTGGCAACAAGTCCCTCAAACAGACCCCATATCAGCTGCCAAGCTGATTCTGACTCTCTGGGCTTCTAAGGCTGTGAATACGTGTGGGAGGAGACCACTCATCTTTCTCCCATGGAGTGGCTGTGGATTCGAACCACTGATCTTCTGGTTAGCAGTGCAACATGTGATGCACTATGCCATCAGACTGCCTTCAGTGACAAAGAAGGTAAGATTCCAACCCAGATCCTATGGCTCCAAAATCCATGTTGGTTCTTACATGCCACGCTAGTAACTAAGTCAAGCGGAGCCCGTATTATTCTGAATGCCCCATCGCCTCCCTGCTTCTTGAGCCCCTTGGACTTCCCTCTGGGGATGGAGGTATCGGCGTCCCTCAGGGAAGCACAGAGGAAATCTCAGAGCAGCTGAGTTCAAACCCTCACTCGGCTACTTTCCAGCTGCGTATGTGTGTGGGCAAGTCACTTAGCCATCAGGGCCTCAGTTCCTCATCCTGAAATGGATACAACCATGCCACGTGGTGACAAGTGGGGGACAAGCAGAGTGTCTGGCACACTAAAAAAAGCCCACTGTCATCAAGTGAGTTGACTCATGGTAGCCTCTAGTTGGGTTTCTGAGCCTGCAGATCTTTATAGGAGGGGACAGTCCCCCTTTCTCTTGAGGAGCAGCTGGTAGATTTGAACTGCTGACTTTCTATTTAACAGCTCTGCACGTAACCCACGCAGGGCTCCTTGTCTTGCATGTGTGCTTCTTGATTATATGTCTGTTGTCGGTAGTGGTGATTTGGTGTACCATCAAATCAGAACTGACCCATAGCTGACCCCGCAGTGGGTTTTCAGAGGCAATAACTGCACAGGAGTAGACTGCCCATCCTTTTCCCACAGAGCAGCTGGTGGATTTAAACTGTGTGGCTTCAGGATTGCAGCTCGGCTCCTTACTGAGTGGCCACCAGAGCTCCCTAGGTCTACTGCTACTACACCTTAAACCTGCCACCAGGGGCCTATCTACCTGGAGGCTTGGGAACGCCTCCTTTCCTGGAGGCTGAGAATCAGACCCAGAGCAGGGCAGCCTCTCTCCTCCGTCTGCAGTTCCCCCGCTCACCGCAGCAGTTCTGAAAGGGCATGTTTCTATATTTATCATTGTCTTCCTTGGAATTCTTTGAAGGAGAACTTCTTGCTCCTCGCCAGCCAGCAGCAGCTTCTGGACTCGAGGCACCAGGAGACAGTTTTGATCTTTGTTTACTGTGGAGGAAGGGGCTGTGAGTACACGGCTGGGGGCTTTATGCTGAGCAGTCCTCATCGAAGACCACAATACTCTAAAATGCACGGTAGACGGAATACAACTGCTGGTGTCCCGAGGACCCCCAAGCAGAGGCTCTGGGGCACCAGCTCCTGGGTGTAAGGACTGGTCTGTGACAAACCTGAAGCTCTCTTTCTTTTCTTTTGAACATTGAAGCATTTCCCAACAATCCTTGCCTTCTCAGTGGATCCTCTCTGCGTGGATAAGGCAGAGCTGGCCTGTCGTCCAGGTTCATGCCTCAATTCACATGGGCTTGAGAAAGTCTCTGGGTTATGCCCAATTTACATCCAAAAACAGGCCTTTAAAAAAAAGTCACGGAGGTCACCAATGTGGCAGTTAATGACCTCCAAGCGGGACCCTCCAGGGTAGGAAGGTGAGAGCCCGCTGTGTGTTCTGTACCCAGAGGTGCAAAACTGGGGCAGCTCTGGCTTTAGAACTGCAAGCCCACACGTGCTGAAAACATTTCAGCACTTACCTATTAACCAAATGGTCAGTGGTTCAAATCTACCCTGGGATTCAGAACTGGCTTTGACAAGCACTGTGGCATTTGGACAAGAACAAACTGGGAGGAGGGTAGAGAGAATAGTGCAACAATGAATGAGTGGAAGCCCAAAAT